TGTGCATAGGGATTTGATGCCTAGAAGGTCCCACTAATCTATTTTATCTTCTCCTGGTTGTATTATTTTTACGTGTACCGTCAAATCAGATCTGACTGGTACAGGAGGAGACTGCCCCCTCCTTCTCCAGCAGAGCATCTGGTGGATTTGAACCATGTACCTCTGGAATTGTAGTGCAGCGTCTTGCCACTAGGCCACCAGAGCTTCCTACATTACTAACTTCTTAAAGACTTCCTAGAAATCCTAAAGGGATCCTCCCAAACATGACTTTCTACTAGTCTATTTTATCTTCTTCAAAGTAATGAACACTAACTGTAATCATTTCATCTATCTACAAACACAATAACTGTACCTACAGCTACCATTTCAAATAAAGTCAGTCTATTACAATTCTCATAAAGCACTGCATGTTAATAGGTAATACAGAAATGATAAAACAGCAAACTCTAGCAGACAGAATATCAGGACACCATTAAAAAATCTTTTAGCTATTCTATTTAGTAGAAAGAAGACTCACCAATGGGAAACTGTGCAGAAGCAAATCTTGTCAATAAGATACCAGCTCCTTCAATTAAAGCTAGAAGAATGCCACCCATTGCAGCTGACCCAACCATAGCCACCGGTCCATCTAAAGGTATTAATGACAAAGATATTCATTAATGTAACGTAAGTCAAAGGAACAAGCAATCCTATAGCCGCATGATTCTCCCATTTACAAATCCCGTCTCACCCGCCTACACCAAGCATTGGCAAAATAATAGCCCACATGACCAACCCAGTCCACAATCTAGGTTTATAAATACGTTATACTGGAACGGGTTCAATCATGTAGTGCTTATGGCTGGTTTTAGCATCTCCAGGTGGCACAAATGATTATTTGATTACTAGCCAAATGGTTGGTGCTTTGAACCCACCCAACAGGCTCAAAAGACAAGCCCAGCAATCTTCTTCTGCAAGGTCAGAGTCCTGTTTTTCAGTTCTCTGTGAAGGTCTTGGCCCCTGCACAAGGATGACACGCAAATTCTTGAAGCGTTCCATTATTTTTTGTGTTGGAGGCAGTGCGATTGGCACAAGATGGAGCAGGGTTTAGGGTTGTTGTACATGGGGTCACTATGATTCACAAGCGACTCGATGGCACATAACAACAACATGGAGGCCTAGTGGCAAGAAGCTGCCATTTGAGGCCACCAGCTGCTCTGTGGGAAAAGGATGGGCAATCTCCTTCCCCACGATTAACTGCCTCTGAAAACCTGCTGGAGGGGCAACTATGGGTCAGTACCAACTCTAAAGTACTCAACAACAACAACACTGAAGGATTTCTGTTCTGCACACACAAGGTCACTGTGAATGGGAAGCAACCAACAATACGGCTGCTTTCAGGCTGTGACAGTAGTTGAGTAGTTGTGACAAAGACCAAATGGTCCACAAAGCTTATAAAACTGACTCTGTAGCCCCTTACAGAAAAAGTTTGCCAATCTAGACTACAAGTTCAAAAAAACGATCTCTGAGTTTCTCTGTCCCAAAGACCCTGAAAATGATTCCAAGTCATTTATTCATAACAATCCTTTATAGCACAAAAAATTGGGCAAATTGCCCAGCCATACAGCTGGTAAATGGCAGAACTAAGACTGGAATTGTCTCATAATTGCAAAATAAAGTGGTAAGAACTTCACATTCTCTCATTCTCAACATGCAATGACATGGAGCTCTTATTTTTTCCTTTTCATGCCAATCCAGAATTCCACATTATTGCTTACTTCTTGCGGCCAGTATGGCTCCTGTTAAGGCACCACTTGTGATGGAGTTCCAGGGATCTTCTTTTCCTCTGATCTGAACCATACTGCAGTCAATCATGGAAAACAGACCTCCCCAAACAGCAAAGCTGCCTATTAATTAAAAAAAAAAAGGGGGGGGGGAAGAAAGAATTTAAATATAACTTTTCCTCTTACATTTAAAATGTTCAAGTAAAAGAATAAATTTTTTTTTTAGTAAAAGAATAAATTTAAATAACAACACTCATCCTACTTTAAAAACTCCCATACTCCAAACGCTAACATGTAAACACAAGTTTGAATAAGTGCGGGACAAAAGTCACAGTACTTAACTCTTTAATAAAGCCCTGTATCTACAGTATCTGTGGGAAAATCAGCAATGGCCCAATCCCAAAAGAAGTAAGCCAGGCCTACAATAAAAGGCTGCAGTCTCCTTTCAGAACAATGTACTCCTGCTTTAAAAGCAATTAAGAGTTTGTAACAAAGAGAACTTACAAAAGGAAAAGAATGCCACTGAAAATAGCAAAGACGAAAATGAAGTATTTAGGGGATAAATTAACCAGAGATACAAAAGACCATTATAAAGAAAATTAAAAAGGCCTACTACAAGAGATCTGTTCCTGTTTTAAGTCACCTGCGACTCATAGCAATCATATGTACAACAGCTCAGTTGAACCCTGCTCTATCCTGAGCCAACCTTATTGTCTCTGACACACCTGCCCACCTTATCCCAGTCACTGAGTCCATCTCACTGAGAGCTGTCTTCTGCTGCGCTCCCTCCACCCTCCCAAGCATGATGCTGCTCTTCAAGGACTGGTCCTTCCTGCCAACATGCCCAAAAGTATATGTCAGATGGAGCTTCAGAATCCTTGCCTCCAGGAAGCAGCTTGGTTTTACCCTCTCCAGGATGACTGTTTGTTCTCCTAGCAGTCCATGGTACATTCAAGACTTTTCTCTAGCACCACAGCTCAAAAGGCATCATGACTCTATCACTGATGCCTAGTCATTGTCCAGCTTTTTGATGCATAGCAAATAACTACGAAGACTATGGTCTGGATTAGGCACACCTTAATCTACAGACTGACATCATTGCTCTTCAGTACTCTGCAGTAGTCCTCAACAGCTGACTTTCCTGGCTGCTGGTCCCAAGTATTGACTGTGGAGCCAAGCAAACTGAAGTTGTAAACAATCTCAATCTCTTCATGGTCTATCATGGTGCTGCCAACTGGTCCAGCGGTGAGAATCTTTGTTTTGATGTTGAACTTTAGCCCATATTTAAGGCTGCAGTCCTTGACTTTCTGCATCAAATGCCTCAGACCCTCCTCAGTTTCAGCAAGCAAGGTTGCATCATCTACATACCATGATCAGAGCCTGAAAGACTTAACTTTCTGAAAATGGCTATATTACCAAATAGAATGTATAAATACAAGAGCATTCTTATTGAAATTATATTCCAGACCATTTTTTCAAGATATGGAAAAAATAATCACTAACTTCATATGAAAAGGACAAAGACTCCAGATAAGCAGAGATACTGAAGGAAAAAAACCAAACTGATCCTACTTCTTGATCTCTAAACCTATTAACAGCCATAGTAATCAAAACAGTGAGGGACTCACACAATAGCAGGTACATAGACCAATAGGAAGGGAATGGATAACCCAAAAAATTAATCCAACCGAAAAGGGATGATGACCTCATTAACAAACTGGTGCTGACAAAATTTGATATCTATGTGCTAAAAAGTAAAACAAGACCCATCCCTGACACCATATATTAAAACTAATGCAAGATGGAGCAAGGACCTTCCCTCAAAACCCCAAATTACAAAGATCATCAAAGAAATAAACCAAGGCAAACCTAGGAGCCCTTACTGCATTGGAACCAACTTACAGCAGACCCTCCAGGACATTTTCAGAGGCTATAAACTGCACAGAAGGAAAATACCCATCTTTTGCCTGCAAAACAACTGATGTATCCAAACCAACTGCCTTGGGTTGGCAGTACAACTCCTTACCACCAAGCCACCAGAGCTTCCCATAATATTTGAAAATATTATCAAATAAAACAGAAAATGTGTAATCAGAGGATAAACTGGATGATTAGGACCTGATAAAAATTATTTATATTAAAACATTTAACAAAAATAATAAAAAGAGAATCTAAAGATTGGAAAAAACATTTGGCAATGACCTGTCTGGCAAGGGACTCATCTCTAAAACTCCAACATTGCAACAAGAAAGATGTACAAAGCATTTACAAATCAAGCAAAAGACATTTTACCAAAGCAAACATTCAGATGGCCAGCAAGCACATGAAAAACTGCTTAAAATCATTAGCTATTAGAGAGATACATATCAAAGCAACACTAAAATGTTATCTTGTTGTTATGTGCCATTGAGTCATTTGTGACTCATAACGACCCTATGTACAAGAGCCCTAAGCGCCGTTCTATCCTATGCCAACCTCACTCTCTCAAACAAATTCATTCCCACCACTCCACTCACAGAATCGATCCATCTCATCGAGGGTCTTCCTCTCCTGCGCTGTCCCTCCACTCTCCCAAACATGATGTCCCT